CCAGGCAGCCGGTGACGCAGCGCCCGGCAGCTGGGTTTCTGCCGGGGTTGCTCTGGGGTGGGAGGCTGTGAGAGCAGATGGTGGTAGGGTTGTGCATGTGTTTCTTTTCTTGGAAAAAGCAAAATTTGGAAAACAAATGCTCTCTCCCTCTGGTTTTTAACTCTGTGTTTTTGTCCCGCTCCCCCAAACTGAGACGACGAGCTAATTTTAAAATGTGAATTCTTGTCTCCACACTCTCAGTGTTTCTCCCCTTTGTCCTTCATCCCCTCTCCATCGCCTGTCTCCCTCCGCCCCATGGAAAATCAGTGACTTGATTTGCATCTCCACGTTTATTTACATGGTGGGACCGGCGTGAAACAGCCAGACAGCTCAGACGATGGCACGTGCCATACGTCTACCAACAAACTGAAAGCTCTGCCCGTCAGAAAAGAGCCCGCACTTGCTACCTGTTAGCTTGAACCGACCTGAATCAGCCCTGGGCTTGCCGTGCCTTCAGCCATCGGCCATCCTGAGCTCCCAGTTGTAGGAAAAAGGCTTTCCTGATAAGCCAAGGACAAAAGAAACTAGATTCTCTGGCCGTCCCTACCTCACAGCACCTGGAGGAGGTTTGCTCAGCGTTTGCTAAGCTGTGCTTGGCAAGGAGACATTTGGTGCTTAAACCTGGGCAGTTTGGGCTGCCCGGCAGAGCCCAGTGGGTGACCGGCCAAGGGTCACGGTCAGGTTCCTCTGGAGTGAGGTTAAAAGCCCTCGTGCCAAGTTAAAGCCCCAAATGACACAGAAAGGCACAGCGATGGAGGGGCAGGGATGTTCGTCACGCCTGGTGCCCTTGCCCGTTCCTCTGGCGGGTCACAGCTGACCGCAGAGGTTGAAGCGTGGGGCGCTGCGGGGTTGTCTCGTTCCAGAAACACTGCGACAGGCAGAAGGCAAACCTGAGGATCCGCTTCAAGCCCTCGCTCTTCCAGCATGTGGGAACCCACTCCTCCTTGGCTGGGAAGATACAGAAGCTGAAGGTGGGTGCCAGCTGCCTGTCCGAGCTGTCTGCCAGGCCTGTCCTGCGGGCACCAGGGACCTGGCTGCTTTTGGGGTGGGGACAGCAGTGACAGCAACTGGTGGGACGGCGGCCGCTGGGTTTCTGTGCAGGGGTTGTGTTTTACTCTGAATTGCAGTGAGCTCATGTAGCTCCTACTTCTCAGCAGGGCAGTGACATGTACCGAGAGCTGCTGCAGGCTTTTAAGCCTTGGTACTGGTCCTGGCAGCACATCCTGAGTGCCAGACCATGATCCGGGCAAGCGATTTCTGGGCAAGTAGATTTCATCTACTGAAAAACCCTGGAGAGATGACTCCTGGGTTGGTCTGACTTCCTTCCCACCCCCCTCCTTATTCCTGGGATTTGCTGATAGGCAAAAGAGAGCTTGCTGTGTACAAGTGTAAATTGTTTGTGTGTGTTTAGACATCAAGGAAATCAAGCTTCCCACAGCTGTGTGTGCAGGACTCGTGGCCGCATGTCCCTGGGCTGCGCTCAGTCCTGCGTCTGCCCAACCCCCAGGTGAATGGATGGTGTCATCCAGTGTGTATCGCAGTGTAGAACCCGTCAGGTCACGTAATCCAGTCCTTTTGTGCCATCCTCAGTCGCCCAGCCACCTTTTTCTCAGGTGTAAGGACTGTTTGCAGCGCTCCCGGGGCAGGGACACGCATTCGGGGCCGCTTGGACGATGAAAGGCTCGTTGGTGCCGGGTCAGAGTGCAGAGCAGTGGTGCTTCTCTGTGCTGCCTCTCCTGAAGTTGTGTCCTCCTGGGATCCAGCCACACATTGTCCTGTCTGGTGCCTTCCCCAGATCACTTCCATGCCTCATCCTTCTGCGCTGTGCAAATCCAGAGCTTTTAATTTGCAGCACCTTGATGCCGGGACCCTCTTCCTCACCAGCAAGAGCAGCTCATGACCCTTTTCTGCCCTTTTGCTTTGCACCCACCAAGGACAAGGACTTTGGCAAGCAAGCCCTGCGGAAAGAGCACGTCAACCCTCCTGCGGAGGTGAGCACCAGCCTGAAAACCTACCAGCACTTCACCTTGGAGAAGGCTTACCTGCGGGAGGACTTCTTCTGGGCCTTCACTCCCACCGCCGGAGACTTCATCAGATTCAGATTCTTCAAACCTCTCCGCATCGAAAGGCCAGTGCCGGGGGGGGGAAGGCAGCAGAATGGGACGTGGGGACAGCCTCGAGCATGCAGAGACGCTTTCCTTTTGCTCTTCTGGCTTGTGTTGAATTTCTTGCCAATCTCCTGCTTGGCTGCCCAGGAGGAGGGAGCAGTGCTCTTCCAGGGGGTGGATAACTCAACCCCTTTTTGGTGGGGCCACGTTTGCCAGAGCCCTTTGCTTTCCTGCACTTCTGAGCAATCCACGCTTTAGGTAATCTGGCACAGAAGGTCTCCATCCAAACCACATGCCCATGGGCTTTTTGGGATGGTGCCTGTTAGGTTGAGTGGTTTGATGATTCAGCTGGGGTGAAAGCCATCATGGCCCCCCCTCGCTCAGTGTGGGTTTCCATGGCTTTGGTTTCTGTCACAGGTTCTTCTTCCGCAGCGGGAACATCGAGCACCCAGAAGACAAACTCTTCAATACGACTGTGGAGGTTTTGCCGTTTGATGTGAGTGTTTTACTGAGAATTGAGATGGGGGTGGAGTGGGAAGCAAAAGAGGTTCGAGGGAAGGGAACCGCTTAAAGCCATCAGGAAAATCATTACAAGACTCGAGTGCCTGTGGGAGGTGGTAGCTGGGGGCCCGGGGGGGGGG